CCCTGAAAAAACACTGCGATTATCAAAGGGTCACCTTTAATGTGAATTCACTGAATTCCTCAACTTAACTTTGACAGCAAGCCAAACAGTTGAAAGCATCAATAAATGGCCAAGTTAACAAATCAACCTTAACTCTGCTTTCTTGGCAAGATCAGTCTCCTACACTTACTTATTAACAAAACATGTTAATTTGCAACCACTTCTTTGGTGACATTAAATAAATTTAATCTTCCTTTAGACATATATGATCTCATGAGAGCTTTAAAAACCTATATAAACAGCGAAGATATATTAGATTTGGAAGAGACATTGCATCTGTGTACACTTATTACCAGAATGCTAAAGATACTCACAGTGCAGAATTTGCTTTTTATTTAGTTATTAGCCAACTGCCTGTCAAGAATGAAAGGGCACCGCCACCCACCACTCCGTGCCACCACTACCTCCCAGGAACTGGGGCAGCGGGGGAAGCTTGTACATGGCCCCTGCCACCCACTGTCTGGCACAGCCACAGATCCACCTCTGGCTGTGTGCAATCTGCCCCCACCCCTGCATCCAGCCCTGTGCACCCCCTCACACACACACCCTGCTGTTCCGTGTCCCCACCCACAACCCAACCCCCATTGCTCCATGTCCAGCCCCACACCCAGAGGTGGATTAATGTGTACTGAGGCCCTGGGCAAACACAAAATTGGAGGCAGCCTCCCCACAGGAGCTGGGCTGGTCCCTGCCCCCCCCCCACCCTGCTATGGCCAAACATACACGCACTGGCACACACGTGCAGGCATGCACACAGACAGGCGTACACTCTACTCTCACTCACTCTCTGCACATTGACACATGGACACAGACACAAACACTCTCCCACCTGCCACAACCAGATGCATACAAACACACGCAGACTCATGCACACATGCAGATGGGTGCACACTACTCGCTCGCATTCTGCACATAGGCACACAGAAGAACACTCTCCCTCCTGCCATGAAGAGACATGCACACATGCAGACAGGTGCACAGTCTACTCACTCACCCTCTGCACCTGGACACACAGACAAACACACTCCCTCCTGCCATGAACACAGACACATGCACGCACACATGCAGACTGGTGCACACTCTACTCACTCTGCACGTGGACACACAGACCCAAACACACTCTGCCTGCCATGAACAGGCACATGCAGGCACACGCACAGACATGCACACACAGATGTGCACATAGAAGCAGATAAATACAGGTAGCCTGATGCGTGCACACAGACACACAGATGCACATTCATGCACAGACAAGTGCATGCTTTTTCTCAGCTGGCCCCGCTGCTTTAAACTGATCTTCTCAATTTATTGATTGCCCACATGTAGAAAAGAGGCACAGGAAGCATAACGAGGCTGGAGGAAAAGGTGGGGGTGACAGGAGCAGTCCCACTTTTCCTCAGCTAGCCCCCGTGCTAAAGTCCTCCTGGCAATTCCCCCCCCGTGGAGCTGGGGCACCAGAGGCTATGGGAGGCTGAAAAAGGAGGTGGGGGTGACAGAGGGCTCCCACTTTTCCTCAACTGGCCCCAGTGCTATTAAACTGATCTTCCCAATTTACTGATTTCCAACTTGTGGTAAAGGGGCACAGGGAGCAACTCCACTGAGGCTAGAGGAGGCAGCGCCAGCAGAGGAGCTCCCACTTTTCCTCAGCTGATCCCAGGGCTTGTAAAGTGCTTGTGGCAAAAAAAATGTTTTGCCTCTCTGGAAGTTGGGCACAGAAGGCTGCAGGAGGAAGTGGGGCTAACAGGGGGCTCCTGCTTTTCCTCAGCTGGCCCCAGTGCTATTAAATTGATCTTCCCAAGCTACTGATTTCCAAGTTGTGGTAAAGGGGCATGGAGGCTGCAGGAAGAGGCAGAGCCGAAGGAGGGGCTCCTGCCTTTCCTCAGCTGGCCCTGCCACTCCTAAATTGCTCGTAGCAATTTTTTTTTTTTTTTTTTTTTGCCTCTGTGGAGGTGGGGCAGAAGGAGACACCATACCAGAGGCTGCAGGAGGCAGCGGTGCCAGTTGAGGGGCTCCCGTTTTAACTCAGCCAGCCCTGTCCCCACCTGCCTGGCCACGCAGTCCATTGGGGCACGCACACTTTGCACAGTTGGGAAAAGCATTAGACAGACAAATGCTTTTATCACTGCATGCACAGTCGGGCAAAAGTTACACACAGACAGACAGACTAAGGCTTCTATTATATTCGAATGTTAGATCTTGTGATGCCAGTGGTGTTGGACTAGCACACAACCAACAGGACTGAACGGGAACCAAAACTTAAGATAAACCTGGTACCTAGGAAGGAGCACACGTGTCACAATGTTTAATGACACGGTATCCCATACATCAGTTAATGAATAATACATAACAGACTGGATAGCTCATAAAGATAAACACACTTTCAACACTGTGTGTAATACTTTGCTTCCATTCCTTTTGTTCTTTTTGTAATATGGGTGGTAATACAAAGTTGTGTACCTAAGTATATTAGCTCTATGTTTAACAAAAGAGAGGGCAGATGGGAATCAGGACACAATGACTTCTACAAACTACGGATCAGAGTTTGCCGACGTCTTGTCTATGGACAGCATAACCATATGGAGAGCGGGAATTGGCACAAGCAAGGAACAAACAACAGTAAGGCTTTCTAGTTCTGTGATAACTGATACAATGAAACTCTTGTCTCCAAGTTGTTGGTAACAGTAAGGCAATTGCACAAGGGCAGAAGCGAAACTGTCTGAATACCGTGACCAAATTATACAAAAATTTTCAAATGTTCATCTTAAATTTAACTGTAACTCCAGATTTTCAGTATTTTGAAACAGGAGGGGCTGTTAGTTCATTTTTAATAGGAAAGTCTCCGTATTATAAACATATACAATCCTTTTAGAGATTGTCAGACATATGCCCCCACATGCTGGATCCAGCCAGCAGAGACATATTAGCTGGCCTACAGTGCTGCTGTACATCTCAGACTAAAACAAACATGCACACCGCACATGGGGCCAGTTCAGCGTGCATGCTGCATGCAGGGCCAATCCACAGGCCTGATCTGGTCCACAAACCAGCCGTCCTGTGCTACTCATACAGCCCACCTGGCCTGATGAGTCTGACACCCCTAAATTAAGGGATCGTTTATCTTTAAGTAAGTACCTTTTACTAGACCTAAAAATCTAATTTGTTGAAGTTTTTGCCTGGTCTGTCCTTAGTGTCCTCTCCTCTGCTGATATTTGAATTGTTTGAAGACATTTACTGGAAGACAGAAACAAAGCACGAAGACCAAAAAACAGGAAGCTGGGATTCTTACAGATTTCAGAAGCTCTTCACACTCAGTAGCTGTCTAGCCAGCCTTAGGGTCAGTTTCCCATTTTTCTAAATCTTTTCTCCTAGCTTTAAAATATCTATGGTGAGGCAAAGTAAGAGGACTTGCTGCAAAGCTAGAGGGGGACTGATCCAAAACTCTATGATCCACCCAGTAACACTTGCTGTCTAACCACAGGCACCCTTTAGAAGTTCACAGTCATTGTAATAATCCTGAAGACATGTTGTATGAACCACCTTTCTTTTTTTAAAATTAGTCCTCAACTGGACATTACTGCAATTTGGAAATGACTTTGAGGAATTAAGGGAATTCAAAGCGTTTCCAATTCCAAAGCTAATGTGCATAAAAATACTTCCGGTTATCACTGTACAGCATTACCCTGTACCACACAGACATGCCGTGCTCCAAAAGGGCCTTGTTATCCAAAATTATGTTTCTAACAGGAAATAACTTTCAACTCTAAGTATCTCCATGATTATTCGTGATGCACAAAGGACTACCTTCAAGCTAGCAAGTGTAATTTACAGTTCAGAGCAAGACTGCACTTTTAAGGAAGGTGTCTCAATCACATGACAGCACATACTTTCATGAAACAGCATAAGAGCTGAAAATCAGATTCATTTTAGTTCAGATCAACACAAGGGGTTTAGGGCTTATTCATGGTAGGGAACATGACAGGCAACTGATGACCATTCAAGAATAACTATTCTGGCAAAGTTAGCAATTCCAAAATGCCCCAGTGAAGACTTTTTTTCCTGGAATAAAACTGACTAGAACAATTAGTCTGTATTGCGAGCATAGTAACAATTTCAGAACAAAGTCACTTTTGTTTCAGAATTGTGTAGATCACTTATTGATGTCCAATGAAAGGGAAAATGCTGAAAGAACCATGACATTCAACCAGTCAGTCTGGCACATGTTACACTTAAGACATAGTCACTTGTTAAAGCAATTAATGATGTGATAAAACAAGGAATAAACCACAAAATTATTACACAAAGAAGCGTGTAATAACTTTGTAGCCAATTCCTATCATAATTGAATGTGTGGCCAGGCTGGGACTCCCAACCCCAGGGTGCACTCCTGTGGCTAGGAAGGAAGTGCATTGTCAGATCCCATGACGCCTTCGCTTGCATATCTGCCAGGGGCCTCAATGAGGAAGCGCTAAGAAATGTATTGGGAGTTTTGTTCATGGGCAAAGTTCCAAAAATAAAGAGAAAGTAACAAAAGTTCTCAATTACTATAATGTAATTCTTGCTTCGAAAAGGCAGAAATTAAGAGACAACACCAATCAACTAATTACACTATTTCTTCCAAGATCTTCTAAAAATCAGGCACACTGCGCAAGTGTATCTTGGCCAAGTGGTGTTTTAAACGAAAAAAACCCAGAAAAGGATAAAATCACTTCACAAAATTGTATATGGCAAGGTGTTCACATTAAACTGGGAAACACTGAACACAAGACAAGAGCAAGACCCTTCAACTGGCCACCCTGTTCCAGGACAGTTGTGACTGCTTTTCAAAGTCCTAATATTTTTAAAAGGAAGTACAGATATAATACATCTCATTCAAGATGTCATGATTTAAGAGAGGACAAGATTAAATAAATTATAGGAAAACCTTTGCAAATATTTATGATAGAACATAAAGGTATACCAACCTTAAAATGCAAAAGAAAGCAATATATAAGCTTCCATTTGCTGTCAGAAATGAAGTTGACTGCAAGATTTCAGGTAGCAGTTTGTGCAAATAATAGTCGAGCTTTCTTTTTCTAAGAATTGCTGCAATCTGGGGGGAAAAGAAAATGACACACTTTACTAAAATCTTCCTTTTGCATACTGTAAGGGAAAAAGGACTATTATAAAAGAAGACATTCACACAAGCAATAAATCAAAGCCTTTTAAATTTATTGCGATACTTGTACAAACTAAACAGATTTTGTTTGAAACTGCTGCAGTTGTCAGGATATTTATAACAGAAAATACACAGGTAATCTCAGATTGTGAATTTATGAAGAATTTTATCACCTTGCTACTTTTGGCCATAAGAGTAGGAAAATGTCTGTAGACTATTCACAGTATTATGGTCTGCACAGCATTTTGTGTTCCCAGGGTACCAGGCCGTCTCTAAAATAAAGGTCAGAATATCCCATATTAGTCCAAGCACTAGCCCTATTCAGTTCCCACAAAATGGGGAGGTATTTCATTAAGATTTGAACCCCAACAAGTTTCAGAAATTGTTGGGGGTTTTTTTGTTTTTTTTTTTAACTTGAAGCCTTCCTCAAAAAATTCTCAGTCCAAAAACTGAACAGAGAACAGAATAACCCTATCATTTCTACAAAATGTGCCTGATAAGGAGGGTCTCTCTTGCAATATATCACACAATGTGCATCAACCCCCTGAAAAAAGGCAAAATATGGATAATACATATGCATAGAGGTCAATTTAATTTCCATGCCTAAACATCCATATAAGGGAACCCTGCAGGCAAATCCAATTGTCCTTTACAAGCAAGTGTAAGAAACCTCTTCCTATTCCCCAGTCCCCTAGTCATCCATTCCCACTCCCTTGCCCCACCACGAAAAGGGATCCCCTCTTCCAATGTCCCCTTCCAAGCCCCTCTCTTACAGAGGTGCTCTGGTCATCCCAAGGTGTCCAGGGAGTGGGCTGTATGTGTCCAGCTCGTGCACCACATGCAGTGTGCAGGGCTGGGGCCGGCACAAGGTGTCAGTCCAACAATCCACAGGCCAAGTTAAATTGCTCCACGGGTAGGATCCAGCCCACAGGCTGTATGTTTGACACCTTGGATCTATATTGTACAATGCAGTGCCTTGCTGAGGCACACTGCGACTGCTCCCTGCACTCGCTCCCAAACCTGAAGTCACGTAGCTGCAATTAATGTAGCGCTACTTACACATAAATAGGCTCTGCCCTGAAGCAGAGCTTGATATGCAGCATTAATGCAGCAACTCTGCTTCTGTTTCAGATATAAACCACCTCAGACAGTATGTCTCAGTAGGTAGTGTTTAGACATACCCACAGCTACTACACTAAACCTGCGCTCCACGCTTTGACTTCCATTGAATATAGAGTCAAACTCAAGAACTCTGGGTGCAAAGGTGAAGGGGACAGGCTCATGGGGTGCCTCCTCAATTCTTCCAGTCAAGGGAAAGGGCCCAGGCAGGTGTAGATGCATCCCGCAGATTAATGCATGGCTGCGCCGATGGTGTCGCCAGCAGGGCTTTGGCTTCTTCAACCATGGGATGATGTTCCAAGAAGGATTGGTAGGAAGGGATGGGATCTACATAACAAAGAGAAGAAAGAGCATCTTTGCAGACAGGCTCACTAACCTAGGTTTGCTGGGGGACGGAGAACAAAGCCCTGAGTGGGGAAGCAGGGGACCTAGAGCAAAAACAAGCAGGAGGGGGCAGCAGGGGAGGCCTCATTCTTCCTAAGGAAGTAGGGGCAATCTGCTAGTCATCTCAGGTGTCTGTACATGAATGCACGGAGCCTGGGAAACAAGCAGGAAGAACTTCAAGTCCCCACACAGTCAAGGAACTATGATATGACTGGACTAACAGAGACGTGGTGGAAACTCCCATTACTGGAGCACTGTCATGGATGGGTACAAACTGTTAAGGAAGGACAGGGGGGGGGGGGGGAGAGGGGGAGGAGTTGCTCTTTATGTAAAAGAGTTGTATGATTGCTCAGTGCTCCAGTGTGAAGCTGGAGATTGTCCTTGTTCCTGTCCCCTCTGACCCTAACCCAGAGACTTTCAACAGGCCTATGTTCTGGTGGGTGTCTACTACAGACCACCAGACACGAGCGTAAGGTAGATGAGGTTTTCTTCAAACAGCTAGCAGAAGTTTCCAGATGACAGGCCTTGCCTCTCATGGGGGACTTCAATCACCCTGACATCTCCTGGGAGGACAACACAGCAGTGCACAGGCAATCCAGGAAGTTTTTGTAGAGTGCGGGGGACAACTTCCTGGTGCAAGTGTTGGAGAGACCAGCTACGGGTCACACTCTTCTTGACCTACTACTCACAAACAGAAAATTGGGGGGGAACAAAGAAGTGGATGGCAACTTGGGCAGGAGCAACCATAAGATGATTGAGCTTAGGATCCTAAGGAAAGGAAGGATCCTGAACTTCAGAAAAGCAGATTTTGACTCACTCTTGGAACCAATGGGCAGGCCCTGGGAGGCCACTCTGAGGGGGAAAGGAGTCAAGGACAGATGCTAACAATTTGAAGAAACCTTACTGAGGGTGCAGAAATGAACCATCCTGATGCACAGAAAAACTAGCAAGTAAGACAGAACACCAGCTTGTCTTCGCAGTGAACTCTTCAGTGAGCTAAACCACCAAAAGGAAGCTTACAAGTAGAAACTTGGACAAACAGCTAGGGACATTGGTGACGTAGTGGGTGCACATGCACCCCGAGATAAGCGGTGCACCCCCTGCGAGAAGCACTGCAAACACTGCCAGCAGCACCTGTGGGCAGTCGCCACTTGCCACCCCTCTCCCCCTCACTTCCAACACTGTCAGTAGCATCTGCGGACAGTCCTTGATCGCTGCTGGCCGCCGCAGATGCGGGTGGTTGTCGACACCACTGCAACCACCTGCGAAAGCTCCCCACTCGGCCCACTTCCACCACCAACACCATTGTGGCTGCCTGCGGGAGCTCACCACTCACCGCCACCGTGCCCCCTCCACTGCCACCTGTGAACGGTTGTCATGTGGCCCCAGCCTCCAGGGGCAGGCGGCGTTCATGACTAGGGAGGAATAAAAGAGTATTGCTTGGGCATGCAAAAATAAAAATCAGGAAAGCCAAAGCGCAACCGGCAAAGGATGTGAAGGGTAACAAGAAGGGTTTCTACAAATGTGTCAGCAATGAGGAAGATCAGGGAAAATGTGGGTCCCTTACTGAATGGAGGAGACAACCTAGTGACACATGATGTGCAAAAGGCTGAAATACTCAATGTCTTTTTTTATCTCAGTCTTCAGAGACGAGGTAATCTCCCAAACTACTGTTCCTAGGAGTATAGTTTGGAGAGAAGGTGAGCAGCCAACAGTGGCAAAAGAACAGGTTAGGGACTATTTAGAAAAGCTGGACACACAAGTTCAAGTGGTGAGGGAATTGGCTGCGATTGCAGAGTTGATAGCCATTATCTTTGAAAACACGTGGCTGTCAGAAGAGGTCCTGGGCAACTGGAAAAGGACAAATATAGTGCCCATCTTTAAGAAAGGGAAAAATGAGAATCCAGAGAACTACAGTCTGGTCAGCCTCACCTCAGTCCCTGGAAAAAGTATGCAGCAAGTCCTCAAGGAATCTATTTCTAAACACCAGGAGGAAATGATGATTAGGAATAGCTAGCATGGATTCACCAAGGGCAAGTCATACTGACCAATGTGGTTGCTTTCCATGATAAAATGACTGGCTCTGTGCATGGGGGGAGAGTAGACATGATATACCTTGACTTTAGCAAGGCTTTTGATACAGTCTCCCACAACGTTCTCACAAGCAAGCTCAAGAAATACAGGCTAGATGGATGGACTGTAAGGTGGATACAAAATAGCTGGATCATTGGGTTCAAAAGGTAGTAAATCCATGGCTTGACGTCTAGTTGTCAACCACTATCAAGTGGTTTGCCCCAGGAGTTGGTCCTGGGGCTGGTTTTGTTCAATATCTTCATCAATGACCTGGAAGCTGGGATGGAGTGTACCCTTAGCAAGTTTGCAGACGACACCAGACTAGAGGGAAGTAATAGATACACTGGAGGGTAGGGCTAAGATTCAGCAAGACCTTGAAAAATTGGTGGACTGGACCAGAAGAAATCTCATGAGGTTCAATAAAGACGTGCAAAATCCTGCATGTAGGACGAACCAATCCCATGCACCAATACAGACTGGGGACCACCTGGCTAAGCAGCAGCTCTACAGAAAAGGACCTGTGGGTTACAGTGGACAATAAGCTGAATACAAGGCAGCAGTGTGCCCTTGTTGCCAAGAAAGCTAATGGCACACTGGGCTACATTAGTAGGAGCATTGCCAGAGGATTGACGGAAGTGATTTTTCCCAGGGATTCAGCACTGGTGAGGCCACATCTCACCAGTGGAGAATCCCTGGTGAGATGTGGAGGGGCCAGCAGGGAACTGCATGCTCAGGGGCAACCAGCACGGGTTCATCAGCGGCAGGTCCTGTCAGACCAACCTGGTGGCCTTTTACGACCAGGTCGCTAAATCATTGGATGCAGGGGTGGCAGTGGATATAGTTTTCCTGGACTTCAGGAAGGCTTTTGATACTGTCTCTCACCCCATTCTCATTAGGAAGCTGGGGGACTGTGGCGTAGACACCCATACAGTCCTATGGGTCGCCAACTGGTTAGAGAGTCGCACCCAGAGGGTGGTAGTGGATGGGTCCTTCTCGACCTGGAAGGA